ACAAAATGTAATTAAAGCAAATAAAATTATACTTACCTGTTTCTGGGGCCAGATTGGGATTAATATGAGTTCTTTTGTAAATCAGAGATTAGCTAACAAACAGACAATGTGGAAAATTATTTCGATGGCACATTTTATGTCTCACATTTATGGTTTGGGATTAAAGTTATAAACTGTACACTTACTTTGACCTGTAAAGAGAGATGGTGTTCTCGAGGGTTTTAGTTTTTGAGATATCCAACGTAATCCGTTGGTAACTCACATTTCTTTTAGCGATCACAGTCGCGAGCCTTGCATATTGCTGAATACTAGCATAATTAAAAATCGCACCTGTCTTGTTGAATCCATCTGGTCACGTTCAGAGGACGTCAGCGGATGTACAGGCAGCTAAATGGTTTTAATGTGTCTCCGGTTCCGTGAAATAGTCGAGTGAAATAAACTTGCAAACCAAACTTTAACGTTGGCTGAGTCCTTTGAGCTTTCAGCCGTTGACGTAACATCCAACAAGTACGTAACAAGTAAGTAGACCATCCAGTGAAGTATATTTAGCAGATGTATGCTGTGTCCGGGTGATCTGCTAGGAGTATTAGACTGACTTACAAAAACAGCCAGGACAAATGTAGCTATAGTCTCACTCAAGAAAATAAACACCAGCATAAACAGATGTTAACATTACATCCAACAAGTACGTAACAAGTAAGTAGACCATCCAGTGAAGTATATTTAGCAGATGTATGCTGTGTCCGGGTGATCTGCTAGGAGTATTAGACTGACTTACAAAAACAGCCAGGACAAATGTAGCTATAGTCTCACTCAAGAAAATAAACACCAGCATAAACAGATAATAAAATAACTAACTGGCTCCTGCTACTCTATATTTATCTGCAAAAAACACACAGATCAAATACCACACAGCATTGTCATCAAGAGCCTAAAAAAAAAACCACTTACAAGACCTCTAATTATATCTAAATATTTCAGAGGTATGACGTTTAGAAAAATTCTGAATAAAAGCATGAATGTCCTTGAGCAGCTGATAATTTTGATACCTGAAATAGTGGAATGTGTGCTGAATTTGAATATTCCCATTCATTTGAATAGAGCAAAATTTTCAAAATAAAAATAAATATTTCAAAAGTATGAAGTTTAGAAACGACTGCCCTTGAAGAGATGAACATTTTGATACCTGAATGGCTTTGCCAGCTGAAAGTATGCTGAACTTATTAAAGATGTGAAAATAAAGTATGCTGAACTTATTAAAGATGTGAAAATAGACCCCACAAATTAGGTAATAAAAGTAGGTACGAACGTGGGATGCTGCGGTGAGAGCGCTGTACCTTAACCACTAGCCTACCAGGGAGTCCCCCCATAATAATAATAAATAAAGAACAGGAGAGCATAGTGTGGCTGCTGTAAAGCATCCACACAATGAGAGATTACAGTCATATTTTCATGCTGTTCCTAATATGTTCTGACTGTAGGTTGCAGGCTGTTCTGGGTCAGGTTGGCACACAGTTTGCTAGACATCACGAAAAACAAAAAACTGCATAATAGTAGTTATAAGGGCTGAGGACAGTATAAACTGAGAGCACAGAGGTAAGTTTCACATCATATCCTTTCATTTAAAAACTCATTCTCCCAGTGTTGCCAGTACAGTAGAAAGCAGGGATCTGTTTATAAGGCGTTATAATACAGGGACCACTGAAGCCTAAGGGTCTTGAGAAGGACAACACTGGAGCTGTATTTGCAGGTCTGGATAAAGGCCAAGAGGCTATCCGAGCGAAAACAGAGGCCCATGGCCAGTTTGACAGAAACATTATATAAAGGACCATATCAGAGAGCACTGTACCAAACACTAATCATCTGATCCATGCCGCTGTAGCTATCAGACTCCAGCTGGGATAACGAGGGGCATGCTGGTAATATCATTCAACTTGGAGCTGCATTATTCAACCTTCCAACATTTTGGTCCAGTTATCCGAGCAACTGGCCACACTGTCATGACATTTTAATATGTGTAATCATGGTCTCAGTGATTCCTAATGAATTTTGTGACCCCTGACCTATTGTAGAATGCCAAAAATGTCCTCTTGCCAACATTTTAGTCTATGACAATGCATTTTGAACATTAACAAAACAATTCATGGCCACTTTTTACTGACATTTATTATGGGTAATCCTTAGATGATCCAAATGGTGCCATGGCCTTTTCACAGTGCCTCTGCTACCACCAGGCCAGGATTCCATGACACAAGAGCTACAGTGCCAAACTGAAAGTACAACCTTGCTCTTACACCACACTTAGGCCACACTTGAGTTTTTACACAACTTATAACATAAAAGGGGCAGATTGTCATGAAATTTTCAGCTGCACTGCACCATTGGATTTCTATGTGGTTAGAGCCTTGTGATTGTAGTGATTCCTTGTTCAGTTCTTACTATCACCACCTGGCCAGTCCCCTCTAGCCCTTCTACTTGTACAGCTTGGCTTTTAGATTAACAAAATGCTCTTTATTCAACAGCTGTGTGATGCAATTGCAACATAGTAGAAATTTAGACCTGGTGTTTTATGGTAACACAAAAGATTATTATTAATGTTTTATTATGACTTTATTAACTTTTGCTGTTAGTTGCAATTTATGTATATAGGCCTATAACTGAGTTCTAACATGATTATTCTTATTTGGAGCTGATTATATTTCATGAGAAATTTTTATTTATACATTAGTTGGTGCACTATCAGCTGCCTAACTTTGACACGTGGCTCTCTTGCTCCCTCTGGTGCTGGTACACTGACCTCAAACATTAATGGACATTTAGTTTGTGACAAAGAAATGTATCCAAAAGCTCTACCTCTGGAGTTCATTCTTGACTCCCTGCCATTTGTTTTTATTGCCCTCATGACCCATATCTTTCAAATCATTTACTTGGTAGTTCTGACTAATAAAGTGTTAATGGTAACAAGAGCTTGACGACACATTTATACCCGCATACATTTGTTTTTTCTTTTATTTGCATAGTATGAATTACAGACAGGTGACAAACTAGAAAAATCTGAACTAGAAAAACCTAAATAAATGAGTGGTCTCTTCCAGGATGACAGTACCCTGATTCATAGGGTACTAGGGCTCACTGAATGGTCTGATGAGTATAAGAATGATGTTAATCATATGCTGTGACCTTCACAGCAACCAGATTTCAACCCAGCTGAACACCTCTGGGAGATATTAGACTGATGTCTCCACCACCATCATCAAAACACCACCTGAGGCAATATCTTTTGGAAGAATAGTGAATACAATCTCTGCAGTAGAGTCCAAAGACTTTGAGAGTCAATGCCAAAGAGCACTGAAGCTGATCTGGTGGCATGTGGTGGCCCAACACCTTACTGAGACACTTTATGTTGGCTTTTCCTTTAATTTTTCACCTGTCTGTATATGGACCCATAAGCAAAGTAACAAAGTTTGTGTTGTGGGCTAAAAGCAGTAACAAACCTGATCAGTGTTGTCCAACTCCAACAAATTAAACGGACACCTGTAATAATCACCATTTGTGCTATGCTGAATTAATGCAATAGTGTAACTAAATACAGCATAAAAAGACATTACCCAACACCCACATTTCACACATGGATAATGAATTGCAAACATACACAGAGTAAAAGAGTGCAATAGACACATTATCAGGAAAACAAGATGAACTATGGTGGAATATTTACACTGGAGCCAGTGATATCACTAACTTGACTTGTTACTGTTTGAGTGCATCTGTTTTCCCAGTCTGTTGGCTGCCTGGGAACTGGTGTCTGGCAGTAAACTGTAGCCTGAATGTCAGACCACTTTTTATATATCACACATTAGATGTTACATTTTAAAGTTCTTTAATAATGAGGCTTTTCAAAGTTAAGCCTGGCAGCATCCTGTTTGGTGTGATGGGTGGAGTCCCTGTGTTAGAAAAGATTAATGCATCACAGCAGTCAAAGGTGAACTGGAGTTCCCTCTGTCCTAGGCCCTCCTTGTGTTCACACGCCCCAAGTGCTGTGAAACAAAAAACTCCCCAACAACCATAACAAATTCACTGCGATTTGTTCACAGATAAGTTTTTCTTTTGGCTTGTCTGACCAGACCTGAAGCATCTTGGTTGGAATAAAAGGGGAACTCCAGTGATTCTACACATGAAGCTCAATTTACTTGTCACCACACGTTAAGTCTAAATCAACTGTGTTCTGTGGCCCTGCTGGACCTTTTTAAAGTATGAGAAAATAACCCTGAAATGTGGGTTTATCTTGGTCATGAACCTTCATATTTTTAATAGCAAGCCTGGATTACAAAATGGGACTGTGAAGTTTCAAAGACATGACCATTTCCCAGGCAGAGAGAGTTTGATGAAAGACTGATATTGATTATAAAAACTGTAGGATTCGGTGTTTTTGGAGCTTGGCAAATAATAGAAAGTAAAAGTCGGGATATGTTGGCCTCTTTTGCCAAGTCTTGATTATGGCCTGTGCAAAGTGGGGGACTTCCTCAGGGCTCCATATGCTCATTAATTAATAATTAACTTAACTGATTATTAGGCCACAAGTGGCACCTGCGTTTTTAATCCAGACATCCAGGAGTGCCCCATCAAAACCAGTAGTGGAGTAAGCATTCAGATCCTTTATGCACACACTGTATAAAAGTCCTGCGTTAAAAATGTTACTCGAGTAAAAGTGCCCAAATATAATAAAGAAATGTTCTTCAAGTGCCAGACGTAAAAGACAATACAGAAAAATGCCCCAGGGAGCTTATTCAAAATGATGTTATATGGGACTAATGCAGTTGGTAAAAATGAGTTTACCAACTGGATTTATTGTTTGTTGTATAAAGTGTCTATGAGTTGCCCAGTGTTGACAGATGATGGATTTGTATGTGATTTTTTAAATAATATGTAAGTAACTCCCCTAACTGCTCTCTTGGGACCCGCGCTGGGGTGGGAAGTGCCTCACGGGGTTAAAGGTACAGTAGCGTGCGTCAGCTGATGCGTAGCGTCACGTAATGAGCGGTGGTGGGGGGCTGGTCCTCCTCGCGCTGAGCTCCTCTGCAGCTCTCAGTAGCTTCCTGCCCGCTGTTGCTCTTGACAAGCAGCTCCTTCTCATCACTGGTCATGTGCCTCTCACCCTGCCTGTCTCTGGCTGCGCAGCAGGAAGTTAGCCTTGTTTTCTTGCCTTTGCTTTTCCGTTCTCACTCTTCTTGACAGCCGCGCTTTCAGCCGTATTCTCCTCCTGCAGCCCGAGAGGCTGGCTCTGTGAAGCCAGACACCGGTAGAGCTTCACCGGCCCACGAGAGCAGGTCATGGAGGCCCCGGTGGAAGAGAAGGAGCCGTCCGCGATGGACAAATCCCTGCCTCTGCCTACCTTGAGCCCGGCCGTGCCCCCCTTCGTCACGTTGGGCCTGACGGTGGTCTACACCGTCTTTTACTCTCTCCTGTTTATCTTCATCTACATCCAGCTGTGGTTGGTCCTGCGGTACCGACACAAGCGCTTCAGCTACCAGACCGTGTTCCTGTTCCTGTGCCTGCTGTGGTCGGCGCTGCGCACCGTGCTTTTCTCCTTCTACTTCAAGAACTTTGTCACGGCCAACACTCTGGGGCCCTTTCCCTTCTGGCTGCTCTACTGCTTCCCTGTCTGCCTCCAGTTCTTCACAGTCAGTCTCATGAACCTATATTTTGCACAGGTGAGCCAGCAGGGTTTCATGTAGTGTCAACAGTGTGTCATTTACCTGCACCTGTTGATTTGTAATGTATGTGAGAAAGGGATGTGGAGTCCAGAGACATCTACATTCAGGTTCAATTAAAAGTCCCCCCGCCCCGCTTGCTTCTTGTTGCTTCAGTGACAAGACCGTTTGCATTTATGTGGTGAAGGGAGATCACAGCTGACTGGAGGCCAGTTCTGGTCCAGTATGCAGCTTTTACAAGGGTGATGTGGAAAATTGTAACTACCACATCACATACACTGAAAAAAGGTTTGTTTGTTTTTTTTTAATGAAAGGAATAGATGTAACTTTAAGAATTTTTAACTAAAGAATGAAATTTATTTGTGCAAAAGCTTAATTAGACACAAATTCTTAGGCTA